CTGACCCCAAAGCCCATTACTTTTTCCCATTTCAGCTTGCTATATTCCATATATTTTTTTCTTAGTCAAGACAAAAGTTGTCCTTCACAATGGAAGTTAAATTCATTATTGTCCTAGGTGTCACTTATTGGTAATACCAACCACAGTTTGATCTGTAGCCAGCAAATAATCCCATTAAATGAAAGAAGCAGGTAGGAGCCAAAGGAGGGTAAAGAGCTGGTCCATTAACACTTGCTGAAAAGATGCTGTGGACAGCAGTGGGCTAATTTCAGAACTACTGGCTTCCATTGCAAACTCTAGACACATACCAATGAATGCGGTTGGTTTCAGTTCCTCAGGGACATGAACTTTGACTGTGGCAACAGAAGAATCTAAAACAAAAAGAAATTGGAGAGTGGCTCTTATTTAGTTTCTTCAGAAGAAAACTAGCTTCTGTTTGTACAAAAGAAATACTTCTGTAGGTTAGTTAAGATGTTGGATTTTGAAAAATTATTTGAAAACCATTTGTTCTTTACAGGTAAATTATTCTTTAAAGTTTAAAAAAGGAAATGCTGATCCTATAGTTTGTAATAACAAAGTTTTTAGTTGATTCATATTTTATAGTATTTCAATATGACTAGTGTGTACTGTTTTTCCCCTGTCTTTATTCATAATGACAATGTCTATTTGTTTCTCCTAGTCTGTTGCTTTTTACATTCTTTTTTTTTTAATTGCAGATTCCCTAGTAACCATGGTCTTTGATAAGTTAACCAAGTACTCTTCTTGTTCATGGTCATACTCAACTCATTCTTCTACTTGCTTCTCAGAAAGTCCAAGTGGTAAATAGTAGCTGAAACTTAGGGCATAGGCCACACTGTAGGAAAAATGAAATACCTTTAAGTAGTTTCTTTAACAATTTTAGACCATTAGAAGATAGTGTTTCTGCAACAAAAATTACCTGTAGGACTCCTTTTAGATCTGTGCTGTCCAATACAGCAGCAATCAGCTGCCTGAGACTATCTAAATTAGATAAAATTAATTAAAATTAAAAATATTCCTCAGTTGCTGTAGCCATAATTTTAAATACTCAATAGCCACATGTCTAATGGTCACCATATTGGACAGCGCAGATATAGAACATTTCCATCAGCACAAAAACACATATAGAGGAGCGATTGGACAGGTATGCTGTGATCAGAGTTCACTGCAACAGGAGTAGAGGAGGCAGCAGGTGGCAGCAGCTCCCACTCAAAAAACTGCGAGACTGAGCAAACCTTGTAACAGCAGAATGCCTCTCTTTGGGCTACTTAGTTCCTTTGTGCCTGTAACTGCTCATTTCAAATATGGGAAGAAATGATATAATGCATAAACGCCACTAACTCTGACAAAACAAATGGGACTGTCTTGTGTCTACCTTGAGAATGAATAACAAACTTGTGAAATAGATGGGTTTACACCTTGTGCCTTTATGCTTTCTAGGACCTGTGTTCCCTGTCCCCCTCTCCTATCTTCGTGTATTCTTCTGGGTCTCACTCAAGCCTTTCCTTTTCAGAGAAGCTGGGCATACTTTTGAACATTTTGCTACCTTTTATTAAATAATAGTGGATAATAATAACAATATTAATACATAAGCTGTTAATACTAGTGACCATTTATTGAACACTTGCTGTATGCTAGGCTCTCTTCCAAAGTTTTACATATTTTTTTCATTTAATTTACACACTAACTCAATGAATTAGGTGCTATTATTATTATCCCCATATTATAGATATCAAAACTGAAGCACAGAAGTAATTTGCCTAAGATCATACAGCTAATAAGTGGTTGAGGACAGAAGACCAACACAGACTTTCTGACCTTGGAGCCTGTGCTCTTCACTATTACCTAGGGATGTGTCGATCAGGGAGACCAATCCCTGCCTAGAGACAGGTTGGCAAACATTTTAATTCCACTAAGAGAGAGGCTTATTTAAGCTATTTAAAGTGTATGTATTTCCAAAACTTCTTTGAGAAGTGTATCCACAGCTGGGAATTTGAGGTGACTGGCAGTCCAGTACAGAAGAGATGGACAGATCAAAGAGACAAACCTCAACTTCTTTACTTACTATTTGTGGAAGCTTGACAAGATATGTCACCACCCAGAGCTTGACTTTCCTAGTAAATTAAATGCTGATAATAGTACTTGTGCTATTGCGATGATTAAGATGGCATGAGATAGCTCTTGGAACACAAAGTACTTCTTCAGTTAATGTTAGTTCATGTGTACCTTTCTCAATAAAGAGCAGTGCTAACTATGAATCTCCCTTGGGTAGGATGAGCCTGGAAGAATGAGTTAAAGCGAAATAAAGGGCAGCACTGATTAGCTGAGAAAGAACATTGCATTATTAATTTTTGTATCTTCCTCGATGAATATCTCAACTGATGAGTGCATAACAAATGTTTGTTGTTAAGTTGGTAAGCAAATGAAGTCACAGAATTGTCATCAATTTTAAATATGTAGAATTAAGAGTCTTTCCAAGTGTTTGAGATGCATTTTTGAGGAGTGAACAGATAACATTGATATTCCTCAGAAATTTACTTACAATTAAAAAAGATTAATAGGGTTCCCTTATTAAAATCTGACTTAAAGATACACAGTTTATACTGTGGCATCATTTCTTGTTCTTTTATGTGCTTATGCTTGCATTCATTTAATCATTCATCAAATTAACTGCTTTCTCTTCTAGACCAAAAACAGAAGATGCCTGGATCTTTGCAAAACCCAATGCGATTCAGGCTGTAGGTGTGATGTCGTTTGGTGAGTACATGGTTTCAAAGGCCCTTTCTCAATATGGAGTCTTCTGTGCCATGAAAAAGTGCTGTGTTTCATATTTGTGTCTGGAGAGCAGATGTCCTAAGTTTTAGACTTCCTATTAGCAGCATATGATCTAGTTTGTGCCAATATAAAATTAGTCTCAAACTTTTCTCACTCATCACTAAAATTTGCTTCAATTTGGACCAGGCTCTTGCTCATGCAGAAAATTCAACTAAAGTCATCTTGTTTCTTAACTTGAAATTCTAGCATGTGTTACGGACTTCTTCAAAACCTTGCACATGAAGTATTGTGAATTGGCCAGACATCTAAAGCAAGTCTGTTATATCCCAGATGGGAAAGGAAGTCTAGGACTGGAAATATGGTGTTGTTTAGATTTCCTTTAAGATCGGAAAGGCCATTAAGAAATGGAAAATGGGAGAGAAAGTTGGATAGGCCTGGTTTATATCAAGAGTGACATGAAGAGTTCACATAAGCCTAATGTGTATGAAATCTCTCATTTCTAGAGTTGTGAGAAAGATTATTTCTGACATATCTAGTAAATTGGTATAGTTGAATTTCAGTTCATTAGTATTTTCAAGGTAGCATAGATCTCTGAATTTTCAGAAGTAAAAAGAGAACCCTGGTGCTTGCTTTAACAATGCTTTTTTTTTTTTTCTTGTATTGCAGCATTTATTTGCCACCATAACTGCTTCTTAGTTTATGGTTCTTTGGAAGAACCCACAGTAGCTAAGTGGTCCCGCATCATCCACGTGTCCACTTTGATTTCCGTATTTATCAGTATTCTCTTTGCTACATGTGGATACTTAACGTTTACCGGCTTCACCCAAGGTAAAATGAGAGAG